TCGTCCATTTCCTGGTGATGGAGCTTTGACGGTGCTTATCCAAGCAGTGCTACTCATATGCTTGGAAATCCTCCCAACGTTTTCCGCAAGGGCTACAGCCGGGAAGATAGCATGGCCATGATCTCCAGTGCCAACCTTCAGTGCGCAGATTATTAAACCCTCTCCTCCAGTTGACTTCCGCCGGTTCACGTAACTTATCATCTCCCGAGTCGTAATCTGACTCCGTGCCGCTGAAGTTCTCGTCGCTGCTGTGGTTTTCGTCTTCCATCCCTGGATCAGCGGTGAGCGATGTTGTGTAACAAGAGCCACGCGATGGGACTATGGTTGGTTGGACATTAGTGTGTCCTTGGAGAAGAGCGTGCACTGCCGCCCCATTGTCGACGGGAATCCCAGCAGTTGAGTCTGCGCCGGCGGGCATGGCGGGGTTCTCGGCTACCTACGACAATTGCAGGGGTAAATCGATCGTGACTTCTCAAGCCAGCTTGCTTACTGCATGGCGGGGAATCCGAGGAAATGTGTATACGATAGAGGATGTGATGTGGCGGGGGTTTGTCTGCCCAAACCAGAACTTTGAATGTAATCTGGATGTCATATCATATAATGCAATTTGATTGTAATTCATGACATATATATTCAAAAAGGCTAATTGGGGATAAATCCTACTGTCAGGACTGACCCATCCCTTCATTGCTCTTCCCCCTGCTACTCTTCCGCACCAATTTGATGTTTTCCCGAAAACTATTCATCCCAAACGACGAAAACTATCCAACCATCCCCCTTACAAGCCCACTCCAGCCTCGTTTTTTTTGTGTATCAACCCGACCCTGACGACGTCACACGTGAGGCATACAACTCAAGCATTGTACGGGCAAACCTAGTCGAGGACGACGACGACGACGACATCATTAAAGTTATCAGCGTGCACGACATCAAACGGCCCAACGACCTCGCCTCTAGCGAAACAGGACTTCGCATTCTCGGCCTCGCTGTCGCAGTTCGGTAGCTCTCAACTCCCAAAGAATCCACTGTGGTCTGTCGGCGTTAACCAGGCTCGCCACTCCGCTTATCTCCATCCCACCATTGGTTTGCGATCGCTTGATTATCGTTCCGCGCTTCTAGTGATGAGGGACACCGTCAAGTTAATATATGTTACTAGAATAGGAATCTCTAATATTTTGGAGAGGATCAGTCGTTAGTTGCATTTTTGCCAAGACGTTTCCAAAAGTTCCGCAGTTTTAGAACCTTATCATTGTACTTTAGGCTTGTTACCCACCCGTGCACTCATTCATCACATTCGTTCGGACTAAAACTCTTCACGTGACCTTTGGTTGAAAGAAATGTTTGAAGACCGGGTGAGAAAGAGCACCTCCCTCATCCGTATTGCTTTTGTTATTCTTCTTCTATGTTAAGCTCTCTATTGCATGGCCGTATAGTTTTACAGAACGAAGTGCATGCTCGCGACGTCTACAAGGAGCTTCTCTATATGGATGGAAATGAGGTGAGTCTTCTTTATGCTACATCATAATTTCCTATACTGCGTTCTTGCTGTATTATTTGTTTCTAGCTGCAGGACCCTGTCACAAGTATCAGTTTAACTAGATGCTCAATAGATTGGAACTGTCTGAGGAAGATGCGTTCGCTTCGACTGTCTCAGTTGACTCGACTCAATTTCGAACGTTGCACTCTAAGTACGACTTATCTGCAATCCGCTTGCCATCAAAGGGAACTCACATGTGTGCTGTTCTGCAGGCTATTCGAAATGTGAGACAGAACATAACTTGATCGTTTGTGACGTAATAAGACTGTCACGAATGTTATCGCACCTGGGCATAGCCCATGCCGGCCTTCGTGAGAAGGGTGGAATTGCCATTGCGATTGCTCTAAAAGAGTGTGAGTCCACAATTTGCAAAACAGTTTTTTCACAATACAGAAAGCAGCTAGCGAGATTTTCTTTTCTTGCAGGCTCGACCTTGAAAACGGTGGTGCTAGCTGGGAATCATTTCTCTAAAGCAGTACCCTTTCTGTTAGAAGGCCTTAAAGCATCTTCGGGTCTAGAGCATCTTGATATTCGAGGAACAGGTGTGTCTTGCTGGTTTTTACATGCTCTCATATTTGCTTTAGCATTAACCCTGTTGTGCTGGGTGCAGGAATTAATGATGTCTTATCTGTGTGTAGCCGCCTGTCTCACTGGCCCTCTCTTAAGATAAGATCACACCTTTAGCATGCATGACACATGTTATGGACCCTAAAGTGTAAGCGCTTTTGAGAGTGTTTGCAGATATTTGACATGTCAGACAACTTTCTAGCGCATCAGGCTTGAAAAATATTGTTGCTGTAATATCTGGGCATGAGGGGCTGGAGGAGCTGCGTTTTGAATCACAACCATTTTTTGGAGCATGACCTTTCCTCAATTGCATTCCTGCAGAGGAAATTTCCGTACGTCTGATTGAACTAAGGCAAGTGCTGATATAGTTTTATATGCTCTAACATGTACATGCCTTCCAGAGCACTCAAGGCCTTGAAAGTGACATACATCTGCAATGGGTGCGAGGTCGGCTGGAATCTTTCCCCCACCTGCTCCACCTCCCCATCCCTTCCCCCCTACCCCTCCCCCTCCCTTTCCCCCTCGCCATCCCCCTTCCACACCCCCTCCCCCTCCCCCTCCCCCTCCCCCTCCCCCTCCCCCTCCCCCTTCCACACCCCCCCCCCCCTCCCCCTCCCCTCCTGCTTCAGAATGAAACGGTAAAGCAAGGGAGAGTGGTTGGTAAATGTTCAAAGACGGTTGTCAATTAAATGTTTTTCTGGTCGCAGGGCATCTATGAGTGGTATACGGTGTAACCACAAGCTAAGGTACGGTAGTCAAACAGAATTTCCTCTTTGCAATACAAGGGACTATGTTTCTGGCTTAAAAGATTTGCTGCTTGCGTGTAGGTGGCTGAGTCAAGTTTCTGACCTTCTCCCCACACTTTTGTGTGCTGCTGTGGTGGTTTTTTCCGTGAGAGGACATCTAAGGTAGTATGTTTTCATATCCTGAGAAGTGCTCAATGTCAAACGTCTCGCAATCATGTGACACGATATTTGCTGTGGATGATCTCCATGACCAAGGAGATGTTGACTATTTCAAACAAGCAAAGGGGATGTCAGGAGGTGGGAGATGCTAACGGTGTGTAGTTTCATCATAAGCCCGGCCCTTGAATGTTCTGGAATCTCTGCCCTTTTCTCTTACGGCCTTTTAATTAAGAGTACTGTTTTGTTAAGATCTGAACTTGGTCGATATTAGTTTTTAGGCCTTGGCCTTGGCGCTCGTCGCGGATGTGACCATAGAGATAGGTGCGGGCTGAATCTTATCGAGTAAGTCCGCACGAGGAGTCATGTGCCAAGAGTTCACGGAATCAATCACCCAATGGGTGAGGGGATGTAGGAGAACCTTGGCAGCCATAGCAAGGTCGGTTGCGCCTTCGTTCACGAAGAAGAAGAGCCCGGCCTTCCGCTCCTCAGATTTGCCGCCTTTCTCGTCATCCTTCTCCTCTCCAGTAGCTACCATGACTCCCCCACTCCTCTTGCCACCATGCTGGTTGCTCGATGAAGGTGGGGTCCAATCCTTGGGTCGTTGGTAGCACTTCCGCCAACGATGTCTGCGCTTCTTGCAGTAGAAGCACACCTCCCCTTGACTCCCGCCGCCATCCTCCTTAGGGTTGTCCTTGTCACCGAATATGCACTTCGTGCATATGCGATAACAGTTGGTGCGCGGGTGTAGATGCAAGTGTAGGTTCAGGTGTAGTCTTTGTATGATTATAATTTGTGGGTGAGTTGCTGGGGAGTATGGGGGGTTGAGGCGAAGTTGTTGGGAAGGGTTAGAGGAAACATCGAGGGGTGGGAATCTAACGAACCAATCTGAAGCAACTGGGCCTTGTTGGTGTAAGGGTCTAATAAAATCAAGCTATTAAGACTTAATCAAACTTAAAACCTCTCCTCGGGGTCACCTCCAAGGGTCCTTGGGTGCCTGGTACAAGACCAGATCCTCGGGTCCGAGTTTGTAGAGAGAGGGATCAAGAGGGACTTAGTCAAAACAGCAAGAGTACCTTGAACGTCGCGCAGCGTATCATGCAGACCGTCGATCGGATTAAGCTGAGAATTTCCTATATCGAAGCTCGCTCCAAGAGCTTTAAAATGAACCAAGTTGCCTCGCGAAAAGTTCTGCCATTACGAAGTTATGGCTCGGACAGTGTTTGCCTAGCATTGGAGTGCTAGCGTACTAGCGTTGACTCGGGTTGCATTCCGCCGTCGCACCGCGTAGAAACGAAATTCCAGCAAGGAAGGAATTCGCTTGAATCAATTTCACTATATTCAGGTACAGACAGAGAAGGAATAAATAGCTCTAGCTAGCAAGGACCTTGGGAATCAACCTGGGAACAACCAGGGATGATCCCAAATAATTCCAAGCAGCAGAACCAACCTGGCTGGACAAAACAGCAGGTGGTAGGTTGGTAAACAACCTTTGGTTCTGTTTTTCCAACCTGGGAAAACAACAACCAGGTTCAGGTCCTAAAAACAGAACCTGTTTTGTCTTTGCCCAACCAGCCAAATGCTGGTTCCGCTGGTTTCCCCTGGCCCTGTAGCATGCAGATACAGACAAACAACATCCAACCTTCACCTAAATTGTACCCCTATAGTGCCTGCCCTGCTACACTATAGTCAACCAAACAAAACAGTACAATTTCGAGTTGGATAGAACTGATTCTGCACAATCAATTCAACCGAACCGCAAAGCTTCCGTCTTGGGTTCCTTTGCGAGCTCGTCCTTTCTGCTTGTACTGTTCATAGCGCGTACAATGTTGTGCCGAAGCGCACAATGCGCGAGTACCTGCAAATGCTTCAAGCGAAAATTGCGAAAGCAAACAAACACACGAACATTCCATTCACACCCAATGCATTCGCACACGCATACTCGTACAAACAGACGGCAGGATGTCGTGCAATGTGAATTTGCACCCAATAGTATGTATGGCTCGCCTGAACCAAGACGCGGACACGAGCGCAGGAGGCGCCTGGCGTTGGGTGGAAGGCGATCACCAGAGCTGCGGCGAGAGGAAAGAGGGAACGACCGCGGTAGGGGGCATGCACAGCGCTCGCCCGCACGGCAGCGGCAGGAGGAGGGGGAAGCGCGTGTTAATAGGAGTGAGTGTTTGTCGCAGTACATCGCGGGGGCGGATGCGAGAGCACGCCGTAAAGGAATGAAAGAGTACCCGTGCGCAGGAGCAGGGTTGGTGCTGGAGCCTGACGGAGAGGCAACGGGGAGACAAGAGAGAGAGAGACACAGGAGGAGGGATGAGGAAGAGCGCTGCCAGCGAGATGTGTCCCCAAGGAAGGACTCGGGAAGTGCCAAGGGAAGGGTAAGAGAATATCATGGGCGCCGAGGAGCAGGCGGACGAGGGAGGCGGTGTCAAGAAGATTCCCCTGAGGGTAAGGAAGGGAGGGAGAAGACGAAATGGAGTGATGAGGAGCTGTGTGAAGCGAAGGAACATGAGTATAGTGAAGAGGAGGAATATGGGTATAATCTGGAGCGGCGCCGACGCAGGAAGCAGGAGAGGCGTGAGAAGGCGAATCACTCATTAGAGCAGCAGCGGGGGCGGGCGGAGGAGCAACAGGAAGTGCGCGAGGACGAGTTCTCACCTGATCCGTGTTGGCAGCGCGGAGGAGGGCGGAACGGAGGGTCGCGCTCGCGTGAGGTGCGTCAGCACCATGATGGGAGGCAGGGGGGCGGGTCGCGCTCGCCTGATCGGCATGGGCAACATGATAGACGACAGACTGGCGGGTCTGGCTCACCTGATCTGTGGCGGCACTACGCGGGAAGGGCAAGGGGTGAGACACGTTCGCCAGGTCTGCAGCGCAAGCAGGGAGGGAGATGGGAGGAGTGGCATCTGCAAGACAGTCGTCGCGGGCACGGAGGGAGAAGGGACGAGAGATCCCCTTCGCCCGAGAGGCACTGGCAGCGAGGAACGCATAGAGAAGGCTGGGCGAGGGCGCATTACTCGCCAGAGAGGCAGTCGGGGCGAGCAGGAGCACGGATGAGTGCGGAGGACATGCGAAGGGAGGTGGGACAGGACCAGCACGGACGCGAAAGGGGAGGCGGCGGGCTGGCATACAGCACGGAGCGCGCCAGAGTGGCAAGGGAAAGAATCAAGAGGGCAAGGAAGAGGGAGTCATCAGGAAGGCAGGCGAGAGGACTGAGTAAATCATGGGGAGACGGTCGGGGGAGCACGGTGATGTTTGCGCAAGTGGAAGTGCGGGAGATCAGCGCACAGGGCCCTCACTCAAGAACTACTTAATGCAAGTAGGGAATGTGAGATACAGGTGCGAGAGGAGTGGTATGGACTCGGTGGATTTTTTCCTGAGTCTGCCGAACACACTGGAAGGGGAGGTGGAAACGCTGTATAGAATGAAGATGGATGAGTTTCTAGAGAGGGCAGGAAGGTACAGGGAAGACCCCACGGAAGCATTTCTGAAGCAGTTACAGCGGCAGTTTCCAGGGCACACCGCGGAGAAGATAAGAGAATTTCAGAATTTCAGGAAGGGGTGGAGCGAGTCGTTGCTTACCTACTACAACCGGCTGATCAACCTGGCGGAGGATGTAACATGTGCAGACATGGGCCTTCTTGTTAGCAAGTTCCTGGATGGACTCGACAGCACCATGGGAAGCGGATTGCGGATGAGGGTGTACGAAATGGGGGCAGACACAACGCTGGATGAAGTCTTCGAGTTGGCAGAGAAAATAGAGTTTGCGCAGAGGAAGTTTGAAGCGTACCGGCCACAAACGACAGAGAGGAGCCGTGGGCCGATAAGGGCAGCAGCAATGGTATCTGAAGATCAGGGAAGGTCAGAGGGACGAGGGGATGGTAGGGCAGACAACAGGACCTGCTACAGATGCGGACAGTCGGGGCACGTTAGGAGAGATTGCAAGAACTGTGATCGCTGTGGGAAGCCAGGATACTTCAGGAGAGAGTGCCCAGATGCATCGTGGTGTGAAATTTCCAGCAAGAAGGGACGTGAAGCGAAGGACTGCTACCAGCGGGAGGGGACAGCAAAGGGGAACCCGAAAGAGCTGGAACATGAGCTCAGCAGGCTACAAGCACAGCTGCAGGCACTCAGACAAAGGCGGAAAGCAGAGGCAGGAACGAGCGCCAGGGATGAGGATGACAGGGAAGTAGAGCAGGAGGTGCAGCGCGCGTACGTGGCATGGAAGGGAAGGGAAGAGATGGGACTACGAAGTGGAGGGAAGGACGGCCAGCAGGAGCACCGACAAAAGGGAGGAGAGAAGGGGCAGCAGGCAGAGGAGACGACACCAAGGGACGTTGTAGCTTGCCACTCGTGGGACGGGCGGGTAAGCCAGACCTCAGAACTGATGGTGAGAAATGAGGCGACGGCAATGGAGGGGGAGAAGGTCAAGACGGTGATCACAGACACTGGAGCACGGAGCAGGATGTTAGGGAAGGTCATGGCAGAAGAACAGGGGCTGATGGCACCAGAGAAGCAGATAGCAAAGGGGATAGTTGTGATGACGGCAGGAACGGGGAACTTGAGTGGATGGCAAGCACTCATGCTCCGACTGAACTAACTCTATCACCAGGGAAGAAACAAGGGGCATAGGCGTCCACACCAGAAGTAGCAGAAGCGGAAGGGAGGTATGAGAAGGTGAGAGCACAGGCGTGCGTACCAGCAGCGGCAGAAGCGGAAGGGGAGAACGAGAAGGTGGGGGCACAGGCGTGCACATCAGCAGTAGCAAAAGTTGAAGAGAAGGACGGGAAGGTGGGGGCACAGGCGTGCACATCAGCGGTAGCAAAAGCGGAAGAGAAGGACGGGAAGGTGGGGGCACAGGCGTGCACATCAGCAGTAGCAAAAGCGGAAGGGAAGGACGAGAAGGTGGGAGCACAGGCGTGCACATCAGCAATAGCAAAAGCGGAAGGGAAGGACGAGAAGGTGGGGGCACAGGCGTGCACATCAGCAGTAGCAAAAGCGGAAGGGAAGGACGGGAAGGTGGGGGCACAGGCGTGCACATCAGCAGTAGCAAAAGCGGAAGGGAAGGACGGGAAGGTGGGGGCACAGGCGTGCTCATCAGCAGTAGCAAAAGCGGAACAGAAGGACGAGCAGGTGGGGGCAGAATCGGGTGTATCAGCAGCAATTGGAGCGGAGGAACGGGACGAGCAGGTGGGGGCAGAAGCGGGTGTATCAGCGGCAACTGGAGCGGAGGAACGGGACGAGCAGATGGGGGCAGAAGCGGGTGTATCAGCAGCAACTGGAGCGGAGGAACGGGACGAACAGGTGGGGGCAGAAGCAGGTGTATCAGCAGCAACTGGAGCGGAGGAACGGGACGAGCAGGCGGGGGTAGAAGCGGGTGTATCAGCAGCAACTGGAGCGGAGGAACGGGTCGAGCAGGTGGGAGGTAAAGCAGAGGCAGCCGCGGTTCCACAAGGAGCCTGGGCCCGCATGGAAGGGGAGAATCCAGAGTGGAAGGGGGGAGAGACAGTGAGCGAATAAGGGAAGAAGGTGATGTTGGCAATGCTAGCGAAACACTGGAGGCGCTTTGCCACACAAGAGGGGCGTAAGGGCCCGGTAAAGCAGTGGGAGCTAAAGCTGAGCAGCCGCAAACTGGTGTTACACGGGAGGAGGAAAAGGCCGCCGGAGGATAAGGAGATATGCAAGGGTAAATTTAGGGAGCTGCTGACTAAGCAAGTGGTGCTGAATGAGGCCAAGGGGAGCAAGAAATCAGCAAACATCTCGAGGAATGAGCGGGCCATGAAGTGGCTGATGGGGGAAACGGAAGAAGAGAAGGCAGTGACAGAGAGAGCGAGAGTGAGGGGGGGGCACCACTGCAGGTGGTATCAACAGGAGCTGCAGATGCAGCCGAAGGAGAGATGGAGGGTGATACCCGCACCAGGCGAGAGGAAACCAGTAATCAAAGAAGTGCACACCAAGCAGGGGCAACTCGACCACGAGAGAATGGTGCAGCTGTTAAACAGGGAATGGTGGTGGGAGAGAATGCCCAGGCAAGTGAACGGGTGGGTGGAAAGTTGTGAAGCAGGGTAGTGGAGAGTAAAAGAGGTGCGTGAATCTGGGGTGCTGGTGCTGGAGAATGAGAAAGAAGTACCGGTGAAGGCACATCAGAGCAACACGGCAGGAGTCAAAGGAACAAGGCCTCAGCAGCATGGTCCTGTGACCCGAGCTCAGGCAGCCCGAGCACGGGCACAGGAGGGGGCAGGTGGTGGCTGAGGCTGATCAACAACGTAAGGAGAAGGAAGGCAAGGGAGTGACAAGAGGAAGAACAGGTTGCAAGGATGAGGTGGTTCTCCGACAGCTGTCACCGAATATGCACTTCGTGCATATGCGAAACAGTTGGTGCGCGGGTGTAGATGCAAGTGTAGGTTCAGGTGTAGTCTTTGTATGATTACAATTTGTGGGTGAGTTGCTGGGAAGTATGGGGAGTTGAGGCGAAGTTGTTGGGAAGGGTTAGAGGAAACATCGAGGGGTGGGAATCTAACGAACCAATCTGAAGCAACTGGGCCTGGCTCGAGGCGCACATCGAGAAGTGTGCGACTGAGCCAGGTTCAGGTAAATTCAGTACCAAACACCCTCTCGTTGCTTTTCTCCTGTTATTCTCTCATATTAGTGGAAAGCTGTTACCTCAGATCTAGCATCCGGTAGCACGCCACTATGGGAGGACCTACGGGGTGAGGGAGGAAACTCTTTCAGCGGTGGTGGCTGAGGCTGATCAACAACGTAAGGAGAAGGAAGGCAAGGGAGTGACAAGAGGAAGAGCAAGTTGCAAGGATGAGGTGGTTCTCCGACATCCTTGGTCTTGCCCTTCCAATTTTTTCTTGAAGCCACTCTTTCCACCTCCAACTCCATAGCCAACCCCCTCCTTCGAGTGCTCCACACTCCGCCGCCGCAAGTCCTCCTCTAGGATGCGCGCGCGAATATAATCCACGCTCCATTGGGGCAGAGTTGAGGTTGATCGCAAGGGCAGACCACGAATTCAGCAGCCGTATCACGATCTCCACGCATTGCACGAGCTCCGGATACACCACACCGCCGCCTTGGAGTTTCGTAAAGATGTCCCGCATCTCATCCAACACCTGCATCGGCGCTCCATCAATGAACTTGATGTCGCGCAGCCACAGCACGAGTAGCACAATGCCGGTAGCGTGTGTCGGTGACTGCACATCCAGAAGCTTCCTCCAAGCCTTGGGGCCACACTCTGGATCATCCAAGAGGTCCTTGATGTGGTCAAGTTGCAGTCGCCAACCGCTTGCACCATGAGCATGTACGCGTCGAACAATCGCTTCATCCACGCTCCTTTCAGCTCCGCGGCCTCCGGCATCTTCTCCTTCCCCTCCACCAAGTCCAAAAGCTTGTATTGGGTGTACATCAGCCTCATGCGGAAGCTCCAGTGCTCGTAGTGTTGAATGCAATATGCGCTTTGCACGTCAACCTACCGCCTCTTCGTCGGCGGTGAAGGTAAACGAAGTTTTTTGTTTGAAGGTAATTTGTTATGTGTGAGGTGCGCATTTCTGTGCTTTACGTTTTGGCGTTTACGGTTTGTGAATCGCCTTAGCGGTTCATAAGTTATGAGCGTTTGTTTGTGATCAACCTTTTGTGAATAAAATATTCTCTATCATCGTATTGACGTGAGGGGAATTATCTGCACACGAGCCAATCAGACAATTAACGCTGCGCAACGGAGTTTGTGACTACTCTAGAGCACACGATTAGTTTCACTCTTGGGAAATCCCTCTACAAACACGGATCCTTGGTTAGGGGCTGATTTTACCAGGCACCCGAGGACCCTTGGAGGTGACCCCGTGGGGATAACTGAGTGGTGATTAAAGGTGCGCTTAGAGGTTCCTAGTCTCAATAGTGGTCTATACGTAGTCCTCCCCCATGAATTTCTCAATAGAGAAAGCCTTCACAGGATCTATGGTTGTAGGAGATGGTGTAGAAGATGACAGTAGCCTAGGGTTGGCTGGTTGGTAAGTCCCCACTCCATCACCAACAACTCCCCCCTGCTCTCCAGCCTCTCTACCTCGAGCCATCTCGTCATTAGCACCTCCGGAGTCCGTACCGGTCATATTGAAGCCTTATGAACGGTGGAAACTTGAAAAATCGCTTGGACAAGATTCTGCCAGAAATTTCGATTCTACAAAAATCGCCGTCGCGGACTGGCTACTTCGAATTGTAACGCGATTGTACCAATCGAAATTTTGCAAGCAGAGCTACTAGAAAATGGTCTCATTCCTCAACATTGGTTGAGAATTTACGACGATTCGTCATCTCAAAATCGACTACCCACTCTGATACCACTTGTTGTTCAGGATCCGTCACTTTGAGAGCTTACGACGAACTTATTTCTCAACTAAACGCAAATCCGCTCGATAGGATTGTGCGCCTTAGGCTTAGCTACCATCTCCAACTTGAATCACTAATTCGATGGTCTAGAGAGTGAGAACCAAGTAAAAACGTCCAGCAGCCGCATAATGGTATGTGCCCATACAAAGAATGCAAGCACAAATGTCACGGGCACTCGGCAGGACATTAGGATGATATGCACTCGGAATGACGTGCATCCAACACCGTCTTCTCTTCCTGCCATTCCTGACCATGTGTCTGACCTTGCTCGTGCTGCTAGCCCGACTATCCCTCGTTCTCTAGCCGGGCTTGTGACCCCATTTTGCGTATGGGGGTGTGTCAAACTACATTTTGTAGTTATAGGCTGTAGTGGGGTAGCCCATATAGGGTACAACCCCATTTAGGGTTGGTACTAGTATCATTCACTGCTGATAGTCAAATCATTCCGCTGTGGTATTGATTCTGACAATTTGTACCTAGCTCCTTTCCTAATCAACCATTTCGTTGTGTTCACTTTCTAAGATCTCGAGGCTTTTTACGAATACATGAATGAACAGAAACAAGTTTATTATAATAGATTTGATAATATTTTATCTAAAATCATAACATGCGCTTATAATTTAACAGCCTCGATTTACCATGCGATTATAATCGGCAGCAGCCTATAAGCGCAGTCACCCGGCTATAAATCCATGCGCCAAATAAAAGGGTGCGTTTCTATTCGGGTGGACACATAATGTATATATTCTCAAAGTTGTAACACTTTTCAAAATTATGCATTTTGTGTTGGGTAACATTCTCGTAGGTACAGCAGTATCGCACCCGTCATTATCGAAGCAACGAGAGGCAGTATTGGATCAGCCCGTATCCAGGGCAGGAAGATCAACAGTCGCAGTAGTCAACTGTCGCGACTGTTCACCATCTGGACCGACGATTGACTTACCATCGAGGAATGGCAACAGGCGTAACCGTCTGTACGGTTACGCATAGCGACTTTGTAACAAGAAGAAGTGCAATAGTCGGAGTCACTGTAGAATTGCTTGTAAAGGAGTCAGAATAAGGGAATGTACCCCTCAAAGTACATGGCTAGCTAGATCTATTTATCATGTGTGTAATCTATGTTTTAATCAACATTGTCATTTACATTCATTATGATGAGAGTTCCTACCACAAGACTTCCGCTACCAAATTCTCTAAAGCATTCCTATCCTATCCAATATCCTTACTCTTGTTGGGTGCAAATTCACATTGCACGACATCCTGCCGTCTGTTTGTACGAGTATGCATATGGGTGTGAATGGAATGTTCGTGTGTTTGTTTGCTTTCGCAATTTTCGCTTGAAGCATTTGCAGGTACTCGCGCATTGTGCGCTTTGGCACAACATTGTACGCGCTATGAACAGTACAAGCTGAAAGGACGAGCTCGCAAAGGAACCCAAGATGGAAGCTTTGCGGTTCGGTTGAATTGATTGTGCAGATTCAGTTCTATCCAACTCGAAATTGTACTGTTTTGTTTGATTGACTATAGTGTAGAAGGGCAGGCACTATAGGGGTACAATTTAGGTGAAGGTTGGATGTTGTTTGTCTATATCTGCATGCTACAGGGCCAGGGGAAACCAGCGGAACCAGTTTTTGGCTGGTTGGGCAAAGACGAAACAGGTTCTATTTTTAGGACCTGAACCTGGTTGTTGTTTTCCCAGGTTGGAAAAACAGAACCAGAGGTTGTTTACCAACCTACCACCTGCTGTTTTGTCTAGCCAGGTTGGTTCTGTTGCTTGGAATTATTTGGGATCATCCCTGGTTGTTCCCAGGTTCATTCCCAAGGTCCTTGCTAGCTAGAACTATTTATTCCTTCTCTGTTTGTACCTGGATATAGTCAATTTGATTCAAGCGAATTCCTCCCTTCCTGGAATTTCATTTCTACGCGGTGCGACGGCGGAATGCTACCCGAGTCAACGCTAGTACGCTAGCACTCCAACGCTAGGCAAACGCTGTCCGAGCCATAACTTCGTAATGGCAGAAGTTTTCGCGAGGCAACTTGGTTCATTTTAAAGCTCTTGGAGCGAGCTTCGATATAGAAAATTCTCAGCTTAATCTGATCGACGGTCTGCACGATACGCTGCGCGACGTTCAAGGTACTCTTGTTATTTTGACTAAGTCATTCTTGATCCCTCTCTCTACAAACTCGGACCCGAGGATAGGGGCTGGTCTTGTACCAGGCACCCAAGGACCCTTGGAGGTGACCCCGAGGAGAGGTTTTAAGTTTGATAAAGTCTTAATAGCTTGAGTTTATTAGGCCCTTACACCAACAAGCTGGTATCAGAGCTGCGTTATAGTGATCCTCATTAAAGGTAGCTATGGCGGGCAACACCTCGACGGGAGCTGGTGAATCTTCAGCCCAAGATCGTAGCGGCAGCCATGATTCTGGTGTTTCAGCGCCAAGGGGAGCGCGAACAAACCAGGGCTCGCTGGTCAAGGAGGTGCTGAAGAACTTCACCGTCGAGAAGTTCAATGGTGAGGGCTATGATGATTGGGCCTGGAAAATGCAATTGTATTTCCGTCAGATCGGTTTGCTGAAACTAATGATTGGGGAGGAGCCTAGACCGAGTGACCCCACGCTGCAGGAAGATTGGGACGAGCGCTCCTCGGCTGGCTATTACTTGATGTCGCAGAGTTTTGAGCTGAACCAGCGTCACCACGTCATGCACCTGCTGCCGGAGGTTGAGTGCGGTCCGAAGGCGTGGACCGTGTTGAAGGAGCTGCACGCCCCGACCTCCGTTGTTGCAACGTTGATGCTGGAGAGGGAGCTGTCCGCGTTGCGCCTGAGCGAGGGAGAGCCGGTGCAACCTGTCCTGGACAAGATGCGCGACCTCTACGCGAAGTTGGCGACCGCGGGAATCACCTACCCGGAGCAGACCAAGTGCTTGAAGATGCTCTCGCTGCTGCCGGAATCGTGGCTTCAATTCACGAGCGGATTGAGCCTGCCGCAGAACCAGAGCTCGTGGACACTCGAGTGGGTGCGGACAAAGATT